ACATCCAGACTTTAGTATCTGAGGGAATTCTAGATCCAATTCCCCTCAGAAAACAAGCAATGTTTATATAAGTATTTGACAGTCTTAGCATCTGCCAGCCTTGTTGTAACCTCAAATTTGCCCTAAACCACCCCAAAGCAAAAGGTCTCCTCCAAGCACTGCACACACACCCATGGGGTTCTAGTTACTAGGAAATGTTTCAACAGCCCTCATTTTTCTCTCCCCAATGTTTCTCTTTGTTCCAAATGCTTTGGGAACTAAGAAGCTAGTATCATGGGTTAACCACTACCTGGTGTTTTATTTGGTAACGACGACGAGGTCGACCATGATGAAGATGATGACTTGCAGGCTCAGGCTGATGAGATCAGCATCCCTGGGAATGGGATCTTGATGTGCTGTTTTCAGTGATCTCCAGGTGAAAAGCCACTGCCTTAAAGGACCTCCCCACCTCCAAAGAAAAGAGCCAATGGCTGGGCTCCAAAGCTAATCCACCTCCAAACAGAGGACTTGAAACCGGATGGAGCTTACTTCCTTTTCAGTGAAAGTGAAGGTCAATTCTACTGAAATCCATTAACATATCTGCCTGTGGATGAAAGCCCTGAGGGGATAGGAACCGTTGATATTGGCTGTTTAGAAAGGAGAAAAGGACAAGCACTGAGTGAGCATCCTGACCTTTCTGGACACTTTGAGGACACTTCAGCAGCCAAAATCTGAGAAGGAGCCTTAACTGCCATGAGGGAGCGGTGGTACAGACATTGGGGTGCAGGCAGGCCCAGACAAGGTCTGTTCAAAGGGGAAAGCAGCTATGATGTCAGGGGTAAACTTCACTTCCGTCAGAACCAGCCTTATTCAGCTAAACAGAGATTAGTGGAATAGAAACAGAAATTATCTCCGCAGAACTTTTGCAAAACAGAGGGGAAACTTCGAAGTTTGCTGACAAACACACATGCAAATTTTCAAGCACTTAATCATCACCTGTAAAGTTCTCTGGAATCTGAACTGGGGTGTTCGCTGGTCGGAAATGGTAGGTTGTTGTAAAGAGGGTGTTTCCAAGGTTCCTTGTCAGAGGCCCAAATCAGAGATGGAAATGTAGCACTGTTCCCATAGCTCCTCTAGCGTCAAAGTTTTGAGAAGTTGTTTCGAAACCCTTCAAATACTGTTAATTGGTTTCTAGTCTCCATGAAAATGGACAGACATGGAAAAAAAAAAGTGAAGCTGAATAATTTAGAAACTGAATTATAAAAGATGGATGTCACATATTCCATTATAATGCAATAGAAATTGAATTAAACCTTCATTTAAAGATACCTAGTGATGAAATTACATATGCTAAATACATATTTAAGGGTAGTGTTGCATAAACATAAATAATTAATAGGATTTTGAAATTTGGTTCAGACAGATAAAATACTGCAGATACCAAGAAACAGCATGGGGTAAAAAAAAAATGAAGAGCTGATGTGGTGGCACACACCTTTGGGCCCGGCAGGAGGAACAGTAATTCAAGGTCATTCTCAGCAACACAATGAAAGACCGGCCAGGATTATGTGAGACTGTATCTAGAAAATACAAATAAGAAATAAAAGATGGAGAACATATTTGGAAGGTAGCTCGACAGTACAATTTTTAGAGAGCATAAAAATATGCTAAAGAATATTTCCCCTAATTCAAAAACTTTTGCTGTCCAGAATTATCTGAGAAGCTAAATACACGCAACCCCTGAGCCCCTTTCCCGGAACTTGGAACCCAGACATCTGAAGTGCCAGTGGATTTCCCCCACCAAGTGTTCTCTGAGAAGAGAGTGTCCCTGCTATGTGGACCTCTCTGTGGGAAGAACAGACTCCAAGGACTGAGCACATTCTAGTGTGTAGAACCTTTTTAAAATCAAAGCCCACACAAGCTTTACAACGAAACAAGGAACGAGTCGATGAATATCACTGCCCCACTACCTAACCTGAAGAATTTCACTTCCCACTGCAGCTGTAACCACCTATGTATCTTTGAGGATTTCACTCCTTTTCTAACAACTATGGCAATCACTGTCCTTCATGTCGGATCGCTGCTTTGCTCTGTGATTTGCAAGGAACAGCTACAGGTCAACAAGAACCAGGAAATCACAAAGAGAATGGTGAAAGAACATTAGGGAAAGTTCTAAAGAAATTCAAAGGGTCAGCAAATATATACGTGAAGGCAAGTTCAAACTCGTCCGTAATCACAGGGACACAAGATTTATAGGTGTTGCTGGTAAACGGTTAAGGCATTGAATAATGCCAACTGTTAGAGAAAGAAGATACAGAAGAGTCACACCTGTTGATAGGAGGGTACATTCACACAACCTTCTAGAAAACAATATAGAATTTCTTGCTATATCAACCTAGCTTTAATATATATATATATATATTACATATATATTTATATGTACTGTTCCTCTGCTGTTTGTTCCCAAAAGATGTTTTGCAGACATTGAATCTGTGTTTTCTCAATGTGACTCTTAAGGATTTTTCTTTGGGGGGAGGGGGTTGTTTTTTGTATGTTTTGAGACCAGGTCTCTCCATGGAACCCTGGCTGTCCTGGAACTCACTATGTAAAGCAGGCTACCCTCAAACTCACAGAGATCCTCTTGCCTCTGCCTATCAAGTGCTGAGATGAAGGATGTAGACCACCATGCATAACTTTTTCTTTTCTTGAAGATAGCAGTAGAAGTTGGAGAAATCTTATGTCCATGAAGGGAGTGGATGAATAAAAT